ATACAGTCAAATTCATCAAGTTTTGTTTTATTGCCTCTGGATTTTGAATCATAGTTAGAAAGTCCCCGTACACCCACGTTCAAGAAGCATTTACCCATGTTTTCTTCTAGGAATTGCATAGTTTCATTTTTTTACACTTAGATCCCTAGTGCAGTTGAGATTTGCTGTTGTATATGGTGTAAAGTACAGATCTAATTTTGCCTCTTTTCAGTGGCTCTTCCCTTGTCCCAAAACCATATATTACAAAGTCCATCTTTATCCCAGTGACTTTAGATGCCAAAATTCTGTATACACCCAGGTTGATTTCTGGACATTCTGTCTTGTTGGCCTGTGTGCATCACCAGGACTGCCCTGTTCAGCTAGAGAGTCTTTGTGGGGGGTTTTCATGTCTAGTTCTTTTGTTTCCAGGATTTTCTTGACTCTTTCTTGCATGTTTGTTTCTCCATGTGACTGTTGGTATCCAGTTGTGAAAGTCTATACAATAGTTTATTGGCATTTTTTCAGGAATTGCATTGCATTTATAAGTAACTTGGTGAGAGCTGTCATCTTTGTGCCATTGAGTTATCCTCACCAAGAAGGGGTACTTTTTCATCTGTTCATACCTACTTTTGTGTCTTTGAAGAATATTTGATATTCTTCTTACATAGGTTTTGTGCAGTTCTTATTAAACTTACTCCTAAACATTAATCTTTGTTGCACATACTTACTTGAGGTTTTCTCTAGCACCTTATTGTTTTATACTTGAAGACTATTGATTTTTGTATGTTAATTTTGTATGTTAATTTTGTACTGTACTGTTCAGTGGAGTCTTTTATTATTTGAGTTAGTTTTATCGGTCATTCTTTGGGGGTTTCCAGATAGACGTTATGATGTCATCTGCATAGGGGAGGGTTCCATTCTGATGTCTCTGATTGACTGCTCTCCTGTGATCATCTCAGGTGTCACAGACCCAGGGAATAAACCGTGGTGAGTGGAAGTAGAGGCAGCATCCTACCTTGTTCTGATATAGTGGAGACACTGCCTCTCTCCCCCATTGAATAGGATAGTGGCTTTAGGAGGAAGGCATATATATTTTATCATGTTGAGAATATAACCTCCAATTCCAAGTATTTTAAATTTTTATAAATGGGTTTTAAATTTTGTCAAAGGATTTTTCAACATCTAGGGAGATAATTTTTTCCTTAGGCTTATTAATGTGATGAATGATACTAATGGATTTCCTAATAGCCTAACTTTCATTTCTGGAAAAAAATCCTACATGGTCATGGAATGTGCTTTCTTAATATGGTTCTGTTTGTTAATATCTTAATATTTTGCATTGATATTCAGGAGTGACACTGGCCTAGGGTTTTCCCCCTTTGCTCTCCTCACCTGGACTATCAGTGTCGTTACGCTGCCTCAGAAGGGACCTGGGAGGGCCGGCCGCCTTCTCAGCGCTCTGGAGTAACTTGGGTAGTGCGCCGAGACCATCTGGTCTGGGAAGGTTCGCTAGACTTCCCCTTTGAAACTGTCCGGTCCTCATGCTTCCTGTGGGGTGCTTGCATAATATCACTTTCTAAGTCTTCCGTGGCAGTCAGCTGTTTACGCTTTCTAGCTCTGCTGGGGTCAGTTTTGGTCACCTGAACTTCCTTATGAAGTTAATCCGTTTTATTTATATTTTCAAATTCATTTGCATAAAGGTGTATGGAGTGGTCTCTCATTTTTTAAATTTATTCTGTCTCATTGGTTATTTCCCATGTCATTTCGCATTTCTTATTTTCTGTATATGTGCTTTCTCCTCCTTTCACTTGATCAAGTTAGCCAGTGATTTGTCTTATTTTGTTAATCCACCTCCTCAGAAAATCAAGATTTAGATTTACTAGTTCTGCTATTTGTCAGTAGAAAAGCGACAACCTCATCAGTCAGCATTTCCCTCCCTTTTTCCTTCTTTGTGTTTGTTTTTGGGTTATTGTGTTGTTCTTTCTCTAGTTTTCATGAGCTGAGATTTATTAATCCATTAATTTTATCCTTTCATTTTTATTGATAAAATGTTAGTATAGTTAGTTTTTCCCTAATTACTGCTTTAAATACATTCCAAAGATTCTGGTATGTAGTGTTTTCCTTGTAATCATTTTTTTTTAAATTCTGTACTTCTGGTTTGTATTTTCTCTTTCATCTAGGAGTCGGTGATAGGATTCTAAAATACCCAGAGGGAAGTATCTTTCTGTTTTTTGTTTTTGCTGATATGGGTAATTTTGTTGTGTTACGAGCAGTATGTGTTGTGCAGTATTTCTACCTTATGGAAATCGTGTATGTTTTCCATGTGACTGTATATGGTCATTTGTTGTGAATGTGCCATAGGTTCTTGATAAAATGTATGTTCTCTAATAGCAAGATATGGAGCTCAGTATATATATCCATGCATTTTACCTTGTGGATAACATTGTTTAGATCTACCTACTTACTTTGTGTATACTTGCTCTGCCTCAGTGCATCAAATGTGTTGTTGGTATGTTTCTAACTGTGTCTCCTCGCATCTTCTGTAGACTTACCTTCATAAAGTGTTGGTTGATGCATTCATGTCCATGAGCATTACATCTTCCTTGTGAACTTCTAGCATTAAGTATGTCCTCTGTGCGTTTAATGCTCCGCGGCTTGGAGTCTACTTGGTCCACTCCTGCCCTCCTTGTTTCCACTTACCGCATCTGCTTTTGTCCATCCTTTTAATTTTTAGCTGTTCAGAATTACTTTATTTTAGGTGTATTTGTTGTATAGAGCCTATAGTTGGGTCTTGTTCTGTGATCCTACTTAAAACTCCTTTTCATTTAGTAGGTCAGTTAAGCCCCTCAGTACTTACTGATATGACTTGTTTTCTTGCTATAATTTATAATTATGTATATTCAGTTGTATTTGCTATTTCTTTCTCTATGAAATCTGTATTCTTAGCTCTTTTATTGACATTTAAAATTTTGGACTTAGCTTAGAAAGCATATTTGTGCTTTCTAGTGATTCCTTTGTATTTAAACCTATTTGATATCCTTAATAACCTGGTTTATTATTTAGTTCTTCATTGTATGATTTATCATTTTTTCCCTGGATCCTTTAATACATACCTATTGCTTGTATAATAGTGACCTACACATTAATCAGAATTTTCCCTCTCCCTCTATTTTCCATTTATCAGTTGAGTTATTTCTCCTTTGTCACAATATGTAATATTTGCACATTAGTCTTTCATCTAACCCTGCCTTTATTTTAGTCTTAGATGTACATCTAAATATTTTAATGTTCCTCATAAATCCTTTTGCTAGACTTTTCCCAGTCATCACTCAAATAAAGCTTGCCCTACATAAACCCCCACACGGGGCTGATGGGGGTAATATTTTCTAAATGTATGTGTATTGGAAACGTTTTCCTGTGGTCTTGATAATTGTAGGACATCTTGCTGGATTAAAAATTCTTGGTTCATACTTTCTTCTTTCGTTGAGTTTTAAAAAAATGTTGGTCCGTTGTTGTCTTACATGTGTTGATTTTGAGGAGTTTGGTGGCAGTGTCATTGATCTTTTTGCCCAGGGGCCTTGTGGGTTTTACCTTTATTTCTGATATCTCACAGATTTATTAGAATATGTCACAGTTGATTGTTCTGGGTTAATATTCCCAGGTACCCTGTAAGACCTTTCATTTTATTCGGTCCTTTTTCTATTTCTGGAAAGTTTTCTTATGGTTTTAAGTATTAGTTTTGTTCCACTATTGTGTGTTCATCTTTTGGGAACTCTGGTTTGTGAAGTTTTCCCTCTTTGTCCCCAGTCCCCGGGGCTTCCTTCCTTACATTTTACCTTCTTCATGCCATGTTTCTCCTCTTGGCTGATTCCTGCCTTTTCTCAGGACCCTCCATTAATTTCCATTTGACCATATTTTCTTTGGGCACTTGATCATTTATTCCTCATTTCTGAGATAATTTTGTTTTATATTCCATTACTTTTTTGAGGTCACTCAATTTTGTCTTCTTCTAGTTTTTGGCCCTTTCTGGTTTTAATTTTATGTTTCTAGTTCAAGTTGGGTTTTCGTATTCTCAAGTGTTTGAATGTGTTTAGTGATGTCTTTAGAGTGTTGAATTGCATTTTTCTTTTGATTTGTGGTTGCTTTTCAGGAGGTCATGTTTACGGTTTTCGGTGTCTTATTGCTGGTCTGACAGTGACCACCTCTTGGTTACTGTGCAAGTCCAGGATGGTGGCCTCTTGGTCCGTGTGCAAGTCCAGGACGCCGCCAGCATAACAGGAAGCATTCCAAGTGGCGTGGGAACAGCGGGGCCACAGGCTGGTCTGGGGACCCAGATGCAGGCTGGCACCAGCAGAATGTGTGCTCTGGGGCCATTTGCAGAGGTCCTCTCATCTCTCAGACTGTGTCAGTAGAAACATTGTTGCCCCTCAGAATACAGTCTTGGACTTTGAGGATGAAAGTTTTTTCCTTTAACATTAGAGGACTGCTTTTGTGATTTATCTTCTTGAGTTCATGGAGAATCAAAAACCAAATGCTAACTTTCCTAAAGGTTATCAGTTATGGACCATGTGTGCAGCCTGAAAATAAATAAAATTTGTTCTTCAGTGTCAAAGAATTACTCGCATGTGAATTATTCACCTTGTATTAAGGAAATATGTAACTTGATACTAGGTAAAAGGTGTTATAGCATATAACTAGTTTCTTGAACAGAATTTATAGGTTTTGTACATTTTCAGTATCAGTAAACAAGTCACAGTAGTTTTGACCAAAATTGTCTAAAAGGACTATTTTAAATCTGTAGAGCTGAATAAATACCAGACAATGCTAGAAATAATGAGGTTCCATGTAATTGATGGTGGTTATTCCTGAAGGGTAGCATTTAAAGTTACTCCTCAAACATCCTGTAAACTTCCCCAGCCCCACAGGGTCTGTATTTGCCACTGAAGTTTTCAGAAAGCAAATTGAATTAGAGTGCTGTGTGTTTTATGAGATCATCTCAAGTGAAATTCTATTTGTTTCAGAAACGGGCATGCAGGAGATTACAAGCAGCCACCCAGGAGTGGGGCCGCGCTCAGGTGAAGGCGGGCACCCCAGGACCCTGGAGTCTTGAGGAGCTGGAGGCACAGCCCAGAGGTGCGCCGGAGAGCCTCCAGGGCCGACCAAGTATGGGGGTAGGTTCCTGTTTGCAGCAGATCAGCTGCAAGCCCATTTAAATATTTTAATAAAAAGTGTAAATAATCACTCTTCTGATAGATCTGCGGCTGTGATTTGTTAAATAGATTCCTCTGAACAGCGGAAGGAACTTGGCCCAGCCCTGCCTGAGATGTATTGCGGGGGAGTCTGTAAGTGCATTAACCTTCTTGCTGTGACATAAAAGATAGACTTGTTCCTAAATATTAGATCCATAAAACATAGTTAATAAAAATGGCAATTACATTTCTTAGGAATGAGGGATGTAAATAAAAAGGTGCAGATTGATTTAAGCTTTTCTTAGCATTATGCTGGGGTGCAAACTAATTTGTTTTCAGCTTCACACTGGAAGTAGAAATTGAAAATACACTTTAAAATTATTTCTAAAAGAAGGATTCAGGGAAGGGAACAAGCCACTGGGTTTGGTAAAAATAGAGATCATTTGAGGACATTTGGAGAAAAACCCCAATCTCATTTAATTACCCCTCTTTGTTATCAGCATTTTTTTTCTTTTTCATGTTTAAGTTTTCCTTTCATGTTCCCATAAACTTCACAGATTTGAGAAGGGGAAACGCAGCATTCATACCATTAATTCAAAGTCAGGCCGACCAGCACTGCCGAGTCACATTCTCAGACTCCTTTACTGGCAGAATATAATAAACAGACATTGGTGTAATGATACCTTTGTTATTGACTTGGAACTTATTCTAAGGACAAGATGGTATGTCTTTGATAATCTGTAATTCTCATGGTTTTTTTTTCTTAAATTTGGAATCTTTATAATTGCAATAAAATAGAACTGTGTTTAATTTTCACGTAGAAACCGGGAGCATGTGTACATGTGTGTTTCTATGTATTTCCTAGATTGCCCACTAAAGATTTTTAGAGAAACCTATTGCTCTGTTTTTGGTAAGAAGAGATTGAGTCAATAAATTATAGAGGTCTTCAGTTGACACATTGCAGGCTACTGTGTTTTACAATGAGAGGCAATGATTTTGTTTTAAATGAAGACCTAAAACTGTCAAAATTTCACCCACGTAAACCGCTGATTATTGGAAGTCGTTAGGGAAATATGAAAAGAAAAGCTTAGTGTCAACTTCACTCCACAAAGGTGTGCTTTCTTCCTTTTTGTACTGTTGTCAGGAGCATTTCCACAAATTATGTTGCGTATGTTGTATAATCCTGAACAATGGTGGAATCAAGAATCCAGCAATTTGAACTACCATATTTAGGTTGATTGATACAATGCCAGACATGCCCTGGAATGCAAATAAGTGACATTTACCTTGAGGAACAGGACTCCATTATGGGTAAATTGCGTGAATGCTGTTGACTAAGTAGTAACCTTCCTGTTTTCACCCCATTTCCATGGAATGTATCTTTCAAATCCCCCCCATCTGCTGGGCAAACACTTAGAATGTAATATGGATTCTTAATTCTCTGAGAGGTTGTGCTCTGGCATGAATGGCTTAAAGGGAAAAAAATTTGGCTCAAGCAACTGATTGGATCATTTTAGCTAATATTCTGTTTGAACAACAGTACCTATTTGATTAGGGTTTTTCCTTCCTCTGTAATTCCCAAGCTTGCCTCTGTTATGTTTCATAGGAAATGAATCTGTGAGCAGAAAACCTATATTGATATGTAAATATATCATTTTTCTGTTAATGCTCGATATTCTTTTCATCTAAATTTCAGAAACCAACTTGAAAAAAATCAGTTCCCCTTTATTTGTAGTTACTCTCAATAAAATTTCACCCAGGCTTGGGTGATTTAATATTTACATACACTATTTCTTAAAGTCCTATGTAAATAAAGATTGAAATGTGAATTTGAAAAGTCGCACCTCTTGATATTTGAACAGGCTATCGCTGCATATATCTTCTTTTTCTAATAATATGGCTAGTTTCTCCCCTAAGCTTTTAAAATAATAAGACACTATTTTTATATTCTAGAACATCAAAAGGTTCAGTGTTAAATAAAGAGCAAATAGTATTTTTAGAAATGCAGGATCCCAGAGAGGAGTGCTTAGCAGTAAATCACTGATGGGCGGCAATCCCAGATCTCAGAAGACTTCATTACACACACGGCTCCACTCGCAAGCGCACTCCGTGTGCCCGCAAGGGCGCCCCCGTCCTGGCCCGTAGCACCTGGGTTGACCCAGGCGGCCTGAGTCAGCGAGGGGTGGCCTCTGTGCCGGTAGTTGGAGAGGCGCCCTTCCAGGAAGCTCGCATGCGGTGGGCTCTGCCTCTTTGCTGCCTCCCTCGGTCCCTCCCTTGCGTCTTGGTTCCCCGCTGTGTCCCGAGCGCAGTCGGGTATCGGCAGAGGCGGCGGCACTGGCTCTGCTCCCAGTGGCCCTGCTGCCTGCTTCCGAATCCTGAGGTCTCCCTTGTTTTGTCAGGACTCCTCGGCAGGCAGGGGCCTCCCCCACAGGCCTCAGGCTCTGCTCCCCCTCCGCTGGATCTGCTCGGCCCCTGGTCACAGGGGATCCATAAAGGGATCTGTCCCCGGTGCTTCCTTTCCTCCATGGAGGGGCCCGGAGGGGCCCAGAGCTGCCGCTTCCCATCAGCTCAGCTTGCTTGGCTCCATGGGCCACGGTAGCCAAAGGTGAGAGGAAGTCGTGCTGTTCTTTCTGAGTTCTAATCCGTTAAATGAGACCTAATGAGCCTGTGAACAGTTCCTGCAAAAATCGAATGAAGATAATGGGTGGCAGGTGAAAGGCAGAAGCTCAGGGGAGAGCGGATTCAGGCCACTGTGTTTGTGGTTGGGAAGTGCCTGGCCCTCAGGACTGCACTGTCTCAGTGGTGTCTGGTCTCTGGCACTCAGGCGCCCCCGTGCTGGACCCCGCAGGGGAGCCCCCCCCTTCATGGGTCAGCATGTGGTCGGGCCTGTGCTGTCTCAGCCCGTCTCCCCTGCTCTGCAGGGTGCAAACCGTTCCCACACTCCCTTGCCTCTGGCCTGTGACCCTGGGTACTGAAGTGTGGGGGCAGGCGGGAGGAAGCCAGGGGCAGCTCTCGCTGTCCCTGCTCCTGAGACGGGCTCTCAGCACCTCCCCCCAGGGCCCCAGCGCCTGCAAAGCTGTCCCCTTGGTCCCAGCTGCTGCCGAGTGGCGCCCGCTCCTGGGCTGTGGTCACCCGCCTCGGCCCTTGTCCTCTCCGCTGGGGGCGGGTCGAGGTGTTTGGTCGCCTCGCCCTCCCCTGTGTGCCATCTTCCCTTGCTGTCACTGTGTACTTGACCCCCATGATGAGCCCCCTGTTTGGAATACCTAGATTGCTTTCTGTTTTCTGGCTGGACCCTTCTGGGCTAGTCACCTGTGAGTAGACAGATCCTCCTGAGAAACAGATTGCTGTTTTCAGTGTAGGCCCCTGGGCCCCTGTTGCCCACCCTCAGGTCTCGGGTTCTCATCCAGCAAGCTCAGCGTTTGGAGCTGGCAGAGCCAGGCTGGGCTGTCACACGGGTGGAGAGCTTGCGTGTTAGACTGACGGAGATACTCAGCCCCCTTAATATTGCCCATTGACGGCATTGCTTGGCTCTCATTTATCTGGGGTTACTGGGTTTTATTACCCACTCTGGTAAAGAATTGCCAAATTGCCACGTAAGTTCTAACCTGTGAAAGAGAATGTTTTTGGTTTTGTGGGCTACCCGTCCCCACCAACAAATGATTTGGACACAGCCTGTTCATTAGTGTTGAGAGCAACTGCTGAGGGAGGAGTCTCTATGTTACTCACTTTTTAACATTGAAATCCACTGCCTGACAACAGTGTGTGTGTGTGTGTGTGTGTGTGTGTGTGTGTGTGTGTGTGTGTGTTGGGGGTGAATAAGAGGGTAGGGGTCAGGTGTCTGGTTCAAGCTCTGGGTTCTGTTTGCCCTGTAGGGACACCAGGAGGAGCCCAAGTATGATTATTCTGTCTAAGTGAATATTTTTCCTTTGTACTTCTTTTTATGTCCTAAAGGTTGACCTTTAAAAATGTTTGTTTTATTTTATTTACCTAGTTGTCTTATTGGTAGTTGTTTCCTGCATGTGTAGCATCTATAGATACTGTGCTGAGTCAGGAGTGGACCCAGAACTGGTGTAAACGAGGCTCTGCCTTTGTCCTGTGCCCGCAGACAGGAGGGCTGCGGAGCTTGACACGGTGTGTCTCTGTGTTGGGCTGGGGCCAGGGCCGGGGCCAAGGGTGGAGATGTAATGTGCTGACACAGATTAAGATTAAAGGCCATTGTGCAGTGGTTTGCTCTTTGTCCTCTTGTAGCAATAGCCAGTTCCCATCAGTCCTTTATTCTTAGGTCTTGAGAGAAGAGAACAATCACACAGGGATCAATGAGACTTTCACTGAGCATCTATAACAGCCGTGCTGTGCTTCATGCGTTTTCTGAGGTGTCAAGGATTCTAGAGTTCACTGGTCTGATCCCTCAGTTTAAAAGTATGGAAAATGAGGTCCTCAGGGCTAGGTGACTGGCCTGCTGTGCCCTGTGGCCAGCAGGGTGGCTAAGCTTTGGCTTTCACTGCAGCCCCCACAGCCCTCCCCACCCGCTGCTGCTCTGTGCACGTATAGCCAGGTGCCAACCTCACTCCCCGACTGGCGCCAAGGGACCAGTCAGATGCTGGGTCTTCGTGGACACCATTCCCAGACACAATGAGAGCTTTTTGGCTGAGACACAGGCTGAATTACTCAAACTCAGAATGAAAACTTGGCCAAGAGTTTGTCTCTATCAGTGTAGACAAATGTGAGTCCTGAAATAGATGAGCTTGAATAGACTCATGGCGAAGTGTCTGATTTAGCTTCTGACAGGAACTATTTTCTTTGGAATATGGATACCAGAAAATAGTTCTTTTTTAAAAAAAATTCAACTCTGTTATTGAGATCATTTCCAGGCTTGGAAAGAACAGAGAACCTTCAGATGACCAGAAGAACAAAACAAAAACTTTGATTGTCTATGAATAAAATATGTGAAATTGTGAGAAGGTGGTGAAATGAATGAAAAAAATGAATTTTTAAAAAGACTTCTAAGAAAAATTTAGATGTCCTATAAGCATGTTATAATGCAAGTGTGCCCCCTTCTGCTACAAGTAAGACATGAAATCCATAGGCATTTCAAGTGCAGAGAGAAAACGGAAGTTGAGCAGTAGCTAGAAACATATCCCTGTGGCTGTTGC